TTATTAAGATATTTGTTCTACAGAATATTTCCGAAATGAACGATTCATCACATTAAACAATAATATATATCGTGTTTTCCTACGTGATGAGTCAGTCATCTAACCTTTAAGTCGCCTAAAAATGCTTTGATGTTGAGAGATGCATACATCCGGTAACTAATTTGTAAAGGCTTTATCCTGTGTACAAATCATAGATATAGCTGTGAGAAAGTTGCACATCCAGTCAATTTCTATGCAATTTCCACTTTATATAAAGAAAACTGATATGTAAATTTCTCTTGCAGCTGTGAAAATACTGTCAGTTTTATAAGGACCTTATAAGCAGCTATTCTCATATTGTAATCACACCCACTTATTCTCAATATGAATTAATAAGGATTTGAAATAAAGACTCGTTGTTGATTCAAGAGAAATACGCAGTCATCTCTGCAAAGGAATCTTCACTACTTAAACCGCCGACCCAACCATATTTTTCTCTGTGGCTGTTTTATCCTCCAATAATTTCAATCTATTCCTCAGGATTGAAGTAGTGATTGTGTCCCGTTCGCGTCAATTTCTACTTAATTAATAAATACTATCTGTATTCCTGATATTTAGTTATATCAGAAGGATCAGCAGAATCTCATCCATTCATTGGTAATTCAATCTTAACAAAACAGTTTCTTTTAACTAAACATGGAAAATTAGTTTTATTTCAATAAAGGAAGCAAGGAAGTTGAGTTTTATTTGTTCCGAAATAAGAAAGCCAAATTCTTCTTCATGCCCTTCTTCATGCCCTTCTCCGTGTGAAGCAAGCAGTACTCTTGAAAAAAACCTTTTTCTTAGAATGTTGCCCAACATCTCTTGGGTCAATCTTCAGCGACCAATGAACCTTTTTGCATGCGAGATCCTTGAATCCTGAATCTCTTTGCATGCAAGACCCTTGCATCCTGAACTTCCTTGCATGCAAGATTGAGTTTGCGACTTCTATTTCATGATTCAGTATACGTTCAATCAGTATACATTCATACACCTTTTCACCTGCCGTTTCCTCACCTCTCGCTACTATCCTTCGAACTTGCGCAGCGGCTTTTTTAGGTAAAGAATAGCGTGCACAGAAACCCTTTATCCCTAACATTCATCTCCTAGGACCTGGTAAGCTTTGACGGTGAAAGCCAAGTTCTCAGGTCGTAAGTTTAGTCTGGGTATCTTTTTTTTTAGACAGATGGCTTTACAGGAACAAACGAATTCCGTCTACCTGAGTTTCGAGTTAGTGTTGTTTTCCTACACTTTCTCCAACCCTACAGTTGAAACCTCTCGTACCGGAATCACTAGCATAGCCCGAAACCTCAACATAAGGGTACGCAAGCTCCTCCCACGCGACAACCAGATGCCCATGAAAAAGGTCTCTTGAGATGACATCATGTTAATAGCATTGTTATCAGTAATTTCTCTCTTATAAAAAGACGATGTAATAATTGCAAAAGGTATTATCAAAATCAGCAATGAAAAGTTACTTCATCATTCTTCGTCTCCTCTTTATTTTATCACTGTTTTCTGCAATCATTCATGTCTTATCAGTAAAAAATGATGCAAAGTACGATTATAAGTTTTATTATTTTTAAAAAATCAAATAATATAATATCTGCAAATACTTATTCATTGAATAATTTCATTTCAAGTTACTGCTTAATGAAAGTTTAAAATTTTAAACTAATTAAAATATCATCAAATATTGCTTGAATAGAGAAACAAGTTGTAGATTTCTGAAATATATCATTTCATTTCAGTAGATATATGTACATGTACTTGTATAAAAGAGAAAATAGAACTAAATTTAAAACCAAATCATAAATTATATATGGAATGAATGTATATCGAATTCATTTCAAAAGCGGAAATTTAGAAATAAAACAAAACTGAAATGACAGTATGGAATGTTAGGTTTTCTAGCTAAATTATTGGGCATTTCATCGATCTACAAATGTAAGCTTTTCAACTTCAAAAACTGCCACATCTCCCTTAACCATCCGAACGATAACTTCATTCAAAGTGAACAAATATTTAGACAGCATTTGTTCCTGAAAAATTCACCGTATTTTTCGTTGTTCGAATAAAAAATAAATCAATAAATATCTTCGAAAACATTTTTTACAAGCAATTTTTGGAAGATCTCATAACTTAAAATCTTAAAATGGAAAACATGAGAAACCAAACATCGGAAGCTAACTGGAAATTTCAGAAATGTTTGTTTTTTTGGCTCCAGTGTTCATGCCATTTATTCAAATAGTATACTGTAGAGAAATGATTTTGCGGAATTTTCCCTTTGTTTGATGAATTCGCAAAGAAAATGAGATGCAAAGGAAATTTTACTATAAGATAATTATTGGAATCTGACGATTAAAAGAAATGGTTACTTTAAATTTCATTGAATAGGTGGACTAGTTTTAAAACTATTCTTTGAATGGAATAAAATTTAAATCAGCTTTGAACAGCGGAACAACAGTAGTAATAAACCTGAATTGATGCAGCCAAAGCCTTTCTCTGGTCGTCAGAGAGGCCCTTCTTGTACTTCT